CGCTCAGGTCAATCAAGCTTTCAATCCACAGGAACAGTGAATTGGTACCAGATCCGCCTGAGAGGATGGGCACATGACATCGTACGTGTACATCGTGCAGCCCCCGCAGTTACACTCCTTATCCCTGAGCCGAAGTAGGCACGGCATTTGAACATGGCACGGAATTGGTTACTCGCGGAATATTCCGGTCTGGGAAAACAGTCATGTTGTTCTGTGCTGGACAGAGACACGACAGCAATTGTGTGAAGATGACAAGATCCCAGCAGAAGCATAAACACCGTCAGGTTGAGTTGAAACATGCGGCCACGCCTACCCGATCCTAGGGATACCGAGTATAATTTGGTAGGCCACATCATACTCGATAAGCTGCTACGATCCTGAATGGAAGTGGAACCCGTGCCGAATCCCAACAAGGAGTGATCAACGATGATTTTCGTCTATAGTATTAGTGTATGCGCTTGTAATCTTTGCCCGCTGCCACTTGTCTTACCCCGGTACCTCCTGCCGATTCCATGTGGTTTGCTAATGTGACGTCATCACTCCAAATATCAAACTGCCATTTTCGTAGTCCAAGGATTCCACATAGCACTGATCCCCTGTAATTGGACACCAATTCGCATGACTTAACGTCCACACCGGTGGCAAGACGTATTTGTCTGAAAATAAATAAGTTGAAGATAAATAAATAAAGCAAATAAATCAAATGAAATGAGAAAATGTCAGAAAAAGAACTAACTTGATGGTCTTGATCATTTCTAGACCCATCACCACACACATATCGGCGTGATTTGGTCGATTTACTGGCATTCCCGACACACAGTAATAACAGTCACCAAGGAATTTAATGCGCATACATTGGAGCTTCTGAAGAAGATTACAAGCATTTCATGGATTGGGAAAAAAATATTTCGTTCATCCCATCGTGACAGAAAACACGTGCGCGTACCCAAAAAGGGCTGAGGCAGCGTTCATACTTCGCGACACCAGCGACGATAGCGGCGATCGCATTGCGAAGAATAACCGTTGCCTAAGTCCCAGAAACAAAACGCTGAATAACGAGGGCCCCCGTGAAGCTGTACTTGACAAAGCAGTCCTCATGGTTATTTTAAAGGTGGGCACGATGGCTGGATGGGGCCGGTTGTTGCTGCGTCATCGGTGGAAGAGCGACAGGACATTCGTTACACTCCGATCAGCCTTTCCAACAGCGAAATTGGCGATAACCGCCCGCCTCCAGCCATCGTGCCAACTGTCCCTAAAAGCCTGGGAACCTTTTTGCGACAAAAAGTCAACTCAGAAGTCAGTGTTTCTGTTCCAACGCAGTCGGATGTACTCAGAAGACTTGATAGCTTGAGCGACATTCCCCCTTGGAGGTGCAGACGCGAGGAACGTCCCAACTGCCACGAGCAGACTGAGCCGAAACCTTCAAAATATTCTGGAATATTACCTTTGCTTGCTATCAATGCGCAGATTTCAGGGCAGTGCACATTACAAAGACAACAAAAGACATGCTGCTCGGTGATTATTGCATAGTTGATGCAAAGTGGGTGCTCACTCTTTTTCAGAATTTCTTTCGTTTTTTATTCTCAGTTCAATACTTCTACTTGCAGGCCTCACTTATTCTGGTTATGTCAAAACATTACCGTATCTTTGTAGGTTACCATATCTTTTCAAGGTCTGACGATCCGCATGTTTTGGCCTATGGTGAACCTACATACCATATTCTCCCAGACAAAACGTCTGCAGTCGAACGAACTGCATCCATCTACAAGAACAGGTAGTTGGATATTTAACGTGATTTAACCAAACTAAAAAAAACTAACTGGAACCAAAAATTGAGGGACCACTAGAAGAGCACATTTTTTGTATTCCAGAAGATCGTTGGGCCTTTGTGACGGCGAAAAAACTCTCACACTTCCAAACAACGCTACCGTAGTTCAGTGCAGGCACAGCATGAAGGCCAAAGTTGGTAGCTCTGTCTTCATTATTCAATGTCTTCTAAAAGATTCACCAATACTTCTAAGGTCTCAAAAATGGTCGAGTTTTGGGGTGCGGAAACTCCATTTGCTAATTTCAATCGTAAAAAATCGTCTACCTGCT